GTATGCAAATGACAGGTTAATACAACCAAACAATAATAACGGTATACACCGATATTAAAGTAAATTGTTGTACTGTACATGTGACACAAATAGGAAAAAAATTGTGCGTAGGAAAAAGAATAATGTTGTTGGGAGAACGGTCCGCTTTTCATAGATATTATTAAAACATTTTATAGCTCTTGAATAGTTTATTAATTACTCTGTAGGTGTCTTATTTCTATTGATAAAGTTCAAGAAAGGTTGATATCTAATATTTTCGCAGACACTCTTGAGAAATGAGATAAGCGGAAGTAACATACTACAAAGAAATATCAATATATCAAATGAAACATAAAGTAAATGGACTAACGTACGATTATATTTAAAGTGACATTATGTTAATGTATTTTTATTTATACTGAGAAATCGTTACACCGCTTCCGTGGTCGAGGGGTTAGACTTATAATCCAGTTACCCCTCTGGCGTGGGTTCGATCCCCGGGAAATGCTTTGGTAGTTTAGGACGGAGGAAGGTAATCTAGTACATGTACTGGTGTAACTCTCCAGGAACGATGGTTAGGAAACTACCCGCCTTTATGACTGAAATACTGTTGGGAAAAGGCGTAAAATGAAAAAACAAACAAAAAATTTTAAACTCTGAAAGTGGAACACACTTTGAGTAGATCCGAATATAAATAGGAAATATCGTGCACACTTCTTCATTATTGTCGATTTACCGTTGTGACTAACAGCCAGTAGAACCTAAATTGCCCACCCTCCGCCACACCCCTGTTGCAAGTCTTAGATCGTTCATGTTTCATGCGCTTGAGTTATAGCTTTTGAATATATCTGGTTTCTACTTGTTTTTGTACAGATAACTGTTGTTGTGTCATATGTTTTTTATTTAACAGTGCCAGACTTGCTTTCTTTAGTATAATTTTGCAGGAAAATTGAAGAAAATATTAAAGAGTCTCCCAATGAGTTTTGACTAACTATAGTCAAAGACCACGCACCACGTGATTCTCAAAGTTGAAGTGTTGACATACAAGAAATGGTGATTGGAACTTTGACACCATGTACTGAATCATCTTGTAACAAATAAACAGAATCATGTGTTATGACATTACGTGTGACAATGGCGTTTAAGTTTTACTTAGTCGAATAATGTGTATTTAGTCACTCGTTATGTGTGGTTATTAACTTTTTTTTTTTCAAAGTAAAATTTTTTAAAAATATTCTAAATCGCTCTAGCTGGCGGCGAACAGGCGTAGTTTTCATTCCACAAGTAATGTAAACATTTTTATGGTTTTAATTGCCAAACCATTTTTTTTTTGTTCTTGACCTTGTTCTTGTTCTTAATATTCACATCTTTCAAATATAGTGTTACTGTGCTTAGTCCCTGTGGTAGAATGTTGGTATACTGTGTTATGTTGATGGCCGTGATAAGTAATAGTAGACTCGGCCTAGGTTCGGGTCACTAGGTATCGCCCTTTGTGTTCTGGTAAGACCTAGTTTGTAAGTGGGCATCAAGTTAAATTTAAAGTTATCTTACTGGATACGATTTTAAGGCTGCGGTTGCGGATCTTTGCTCCCACGGAGAGTTCTTGGTCGGAGAGTTTTACTAAACGCTCACCCTTCCGGATGCTTTTCATGGGCGGGGATTTGTAATCGAGTGACCAGTTGGACTCTGAGATGATTCAAGTTTTTGTTAATGATGTCAGCAACAGGAAAATACGCTGGCTACTAAGTTAAGTTTACCATAGTGGTTAATTTTACTTGCTGCGCCTGGTCGCTTTCCGGCTCATTTATATAGGTCTTGGTCGGAGCATCATTGGAGCACCCTTCCTTGACTTGAGCGGCCATAACATTGCGTGCGGCGTGGTTGTCGCGGATGTAAATTGTGCTTGGTTTAAAATTCGAAAGGATTGGCTTAAATCCAAGCTGACATTGCGACAAACGCGCCCACGACAAACGCGACCCAATTTGGTGCCGCGCTAGAGAAAACGAGACGCACAATGCCGTTTTGCGCTTTGTCGTGTTATCGCTAACGAAGGATGAAAAACGACAAACCGACAACGCGCCCTTTTGGCGCTCTGTCATGTTGTCGCTAGCGCCAACTAGACACGCAAAAGCGTACCAAATCAGCTACCATAGAATAATGCTAGGCACTTTCTTTTTCATTGACCAATTATATGTATTCTTTCTATGCACCCTGTATGGCCTCAAACCTAAGCATATTTTTGGCATTGATTATTTCTGTTTTAACCAAAAATAATAATTGATTTTTAAAAGCCTCAGGGCTTGGCAATTCGGACTTCATTTTACATTTGTAAATATACTGTTTTAATAATAATAATAATAATAATAATAATAATATTTTCCCAGGGACTGTGAAACGGGAACAACCGAAAATGACAGATTGCTCTGAAAAATGAAGATATACTTGGAATTTTGTTTGTTTACCAAACCTGCACGTCCCTGGCGAATGCGATGACAATATCACATTCCTAAAATAAATGTTTTATTTTTTCTGGGTTGGCATTACAAAATGAACAGTTGTCGTTGTCACTAACATTAATCTGTTTCAGTAATACATTAGTACCTAAAATACGATGCGTTATACTATATTGAAGCCATAAAAGTTTTGGATCCTTAGTTACTTTAAAGGGTAGAGAGTAGATACTTCTCCATTTGAATATTAGAAAAATCATTTTGCCATTTTATTTCGGATTTTCCCCGACGATTATTATTGAACAGCACATCGTATATTGCGCAACATCCTTTGCGAGTTTTGTTAAGTATTTGGATGGCAATTTTTTTCTTTGATAACGTTTTGCTTTACATGGAAATCCGTCAAAGCTTTTCTGAAGGAACGTATTATACCTTCATATTCAAGAAAGTTTGAGTTAACATCAAATAATCTTTGAAATCTTATTTTTGGTTGTCTAATATCAAATAACTCATCATCGTTCATCGCATATTTAATAAGTTCATGTACGCAAACATCTAAACGTATAATGTAGGGCTTTACTGGATTGCCTTACCTTACCTTAGCAATCTGATTATTTACTGAAGGGGTCTACAACCGATTATTTTATTTAAACTATAACACTAATCATGCAAACCATTTACACAGTTTTAAGCTATTTCAACCTGTGTCGAAAATCTGAAAGTCTTAATACAATTGTCTTCATTGGTATTGTTACAGAATAGAACAGAACCAAAGTAAGTCATTTATACGATGTTAGTATTTATTAACGCCGACACTTTAACATTGGTCATCACTCCTAGAAAATGTTTGGCAAAAATCTTTATTGTTATTTCTTAATTAACCCAGAGAAGTAGGTATGTTACTTTTAAAGTAGAGGTGATTTTCTCATTTGAAATATTAGAAATCATTTTATTTTTTCTGTTTAAGTTGACTTTATTATTGAACCCATGAAACATATCGATATTACCACATTTTCCTTTTGAAATTGGATCATTTTTGTTTAATCTTTTTAATTTAACTTTATGAAGGAATATTGTAATTTAGAAAGTTAGTTAACAAATTTAATCTAAATGTTATCGGTATCACGAAATAGTTAATGATATTAAGCTTTAATTATTTGACCTAAACAAATTTCAAATTTATTACAAAAAATTCATTATTGCTAAGGTTTAAAAATTAGTCGTATGATAATTTTGTTATAACCACGCATATTTAAGTCATGTATGCAACTCTAAACGTATTAATGTAGTTATGTTTCCCCCACCAGAATCTGATTATTTCAAGTTCTCCATTATTTATTATACTATCAACGTGAAAATTTACACTTTTGTTAAGGTGACTAAAGGTCTTAATAAATGCCGGTGTTCTTTATTTTACATTTGTATTATTAACTTTACATGGGGCTACAAAACACTTATTATCCCTTTAATTTATACCAAAGGAGTATTTTTACTGCTAATTATTAATTATATTATATATTTGAAAAAAACATATAGAAACAGTGTTCCAGTGAAGTATTTGTTCGGGGTAATAGAATAAATAGCACATAGGTTTGCGAGTACACCGAGGAAAATACTGTTACCCGAGGCGTTACTCACAAACGGTAACCTATGTGTTTTTTATACACAAATGAAGGGCTTCTTAGTTAATAGAAAATAATAAAACAAAAAATTGAATTTTTGTGTTTATTTTGATAATTCTTATTCTAAACACGTATAAAAACAACAACAACAAAAAACAAAAACAAACAAAACAAGTTCGTGTTAATGAACTGTTACTACATGAGTATACGATAACAATTGCCTAGAAGGTAAGGTAAATAATGTGGTAAATTAAAAAAAAATAGACAGAGCACGATGAATATTAACATTGTACATATGTATATTAAGTTGATGGGATTTTTTTTATCAACATTAACAACTGAGTATTTATGAAACAAAAAATAAAAACAGTATATGCCTTTCACATTTCGGGTTCCTTATTTTTTGTATAGTAAAGACGATACAAAATGAAACATGCGTGATGACGTAGACAGTAATAATTATCAGGTATCAATTATGCCTTCTGAATTGCCCGAGTGCTCTGAGCATGTGTTATTAGAATTTATAAAATTTACCAAAATCACAATACTTCTAAATCAACACAATTTATGTACATGGGCATAATCTTGAGTAAATGTATATGTCGATAAAGACACGAATCACATCAGATGTCATCAATATCTGCTTAAAGATCCTGTAACACATTTTTTCATGGTTTTATTTCATAAATATGATGCTCAAAATAAGATTTGTCAATATTGTAAGTTCCAATAAGCATTATTTATAAAGATATTACCGAATTTAACTTTTCTTGTAAATAAAGGGAGGTAATTAGAAATTTATTTTCTGTAAATTCTAAGCCAAATTTTCCAATAAGAAATGAATGCTTATTATTTATTGATTAAATGTAATGTGCACAAATATTTGCAGTACACATTTTACATATTCTTCGATGTTTGAAAATTGTTTTATTTGCACAATAATATATATATATTCATATATAATTTTTTGCAAGTGTGGTATACACACAGTAACAATATCATTCACAAAACGTACAGGATCTTTAGATTTTATGTTGTGATGCGTGGATATTTTTAATTTCATATAATTGTAAATTTCGGGAAAACTACGTAAATTATTAAATGCTTTTTATGTCAACTGTATATGCATCTTTTAAAGTTTGAAAAGTCCTCGATAAATAAAATGATAAAATGATATACACAGACACACGTAAACCTGTCATCATAAACAACTAACACGCAAATGTAAAACAATGTTTTTAAACTCGAAAACTGATATATATCAGCAACGTTTTCTTTACGTCAAACTATAAGCCCGACAGTGATTCGAACTTTGGGCAATCTGAGGACTGACTCTCCTGGTAGTCCTCTTTCGTTCTGGTAGTAAACGCCAAACTTCTATTTGAATCAGCTGAAAAATATGTTAATTGCCCATACTTGGTATTATGACTATAACAGCTACATAAGCTCTAAACGGGTCCTGGTTTGCGCTTCAATCTGCTGAATTCCTTTTGATAAAGGTAGAGCTAAATATTTGCGCCCCGAAGAATTTTGATCCACTCCCATTACCATACCCAGTGCAACAACATGTCGTCTTTCGGGATCGTCTACACACACAACGGCTCCACTATCACCTTTCGTAGCAAATTGTCCATGATTTTGTCCATGATTTCTGCCAATGTCTTCAATTTGAATCAATGGACTAGTCAGACCACTGTGTGCAATGGGCATTGTAATTACACCTTCACCAGGTTTCGACACTGCACCATAAATATGCACTGATTGTCCACTTCTACATATGTCATCTTCCTCATCTTCATTGTATTCATGTAATCTTCCCTTTAATGGTCGTCCACTCTTATCGTTAAATTTTGTGCTTTCTTCACCGACTGGCTTATTCATAAGAGATGCTGAGATATCTAAACTTCCATGTTGATGTATGTTTGTCTCTGTTAGTATCTGACCAATACATGTACTTTCATTGTTTTCATCCCCAACGTAAAACACATCGCTGCAATATTGGGCAACGTGTTTTGAAAGGAGACAAAACTCTTGGTTTGTTTCATCTGTTTTGACAAAGCCACCTAGTGTACCACCTTTAGTAAATATCGGTCTGCTTACTTGCCGTGACCTCAAGGAAATATATGTTTCAGATCTTGCTTCAATTTCCGCTCCCGTGTGCATCAATTCTTGTATTTTCTCACTACATGGTGCAATTACATAATGAAATATTCCATACATCTTCAGTATCTCACGAATCTTATTATTTCGGATCTCTTTGTCCTCCAGTCCTATTGGTTGAACGGCATATATGTAAAAAGTTCGAAAGCGATATCCTATTCGTTTGATTGTTGAGCAAATGTTGAATAATTTGTCCTTCATCTTAAATAGAAATGTTTAATTTAATCAAATCAATGAAAATTAGTTTGATATGTTCCAAATGCAATGTAAAGTTACCAATGAGTAGTAATATTTTGCATACTTTCTCTGAAATGATCATTACATTAAAAACATGTCTCAGTCATTTAAAAGGAAAATATACTGTATGATCATATAGTTTACTTTACAATTTAAATGTTTTACCTGTCCATTGATTATTTTATTATGTAAGGGAATATTAGGCCTGTCAGATTCAGGAACATTACTCAATCTATATACAGCCAAAATTGCTTCTAGAAGGTGCTCCGGATTTTCTTCTTTCTCCAGATGATCTGTTGAACCTGTCTGTTCCGCAAGTTCTTCTTTTCCGTTTTTATCTACATTTAATTTAAATGATACATTTGTTTTATCACAGTAATAGATAAATACATAGATATCGACAAAATGCAACGAAAACCATAAGTTAAATGTGTTTCTATACTGTTCTTGACGATTTTAAATGTTATTCTAATTGTGTAGATATTGTGTTTATTTTTTATTAACAGCTCTTTAAATATACAAATATACAACTAAATAAAGATAAAATGACCACATGTGAATATTTGAAAGGAAGACTTTAGTGTCAATCTTCAATTTTTGTATTTACTTTTATATTATGTGATACATCATGCCATTGTAAAGTACTTTACCCTTTTTAGAGATAACCGTATCATTACCAAACGGCCTCTTACGAGTTGGCCCGTGTTTTGACTTCCACAGAGCAGGACGTGCACACTTTTTGGAGTTTGTAGACCTGATGAAACCCATGTCGGAATGACTGAAACCATTGACACTCCAACTTTTGAGATGTGACCTTGTCCTTGCATAAATGGGTATTTTAAAAGAAACATCTTTCCTGATTGCATCTTTACCAATTGTACAAAAAGTTTGTTTTTCTTTACTTTTTGGTATTAAATTGTTGGTTAGGTGTTCAGTTGTATTCGTTGTACTCGACGCTGGACTTACAGATGATCCCTCAAGCTTGCGTTGATTAGAATGTAACTTTAATGAACTGTCACTAAATTGATGTTTCCGTTTCTTTATCTCCCTCTCTGATAATTCATTTCGTTCTTTCCCGTTTTTTTTTACATTTGTCTCTGTATTGGCTGAGATTCTCTCCTGAAACATTTCATAACAGTTTTCGCAGATTGTTTTCAATGGTGATAAGGATATCCGTTCTAGTAAATTATCAATTTCTTTTGGTAAGTTTTCTCTTGCTGCAACTGTTTGATTGATTTTTCCATGACAGTTTTCTTCAATACCTTTCTTAGCATCCTCATCATTTGCCAACAATATTATATGGATCTTATTTTTGTTATTATATTTTATTTGAAATTCATGTTTGTCTTTATTGTCGACGATGAACAAGCATACGGATTCTTCATTTTTGATCAGTGTCTGTAAAGTATGATGAATACTGCTTGAGTCAAATGTGTTTTCTTTGTAAGCATCCAAAGAGGTATCAGGAACTAAAGAATCTAATTCTACGGGAAAATTAGAATCACATTTCCTTTTACACACAATTATTATCGCGTATTTCTTTTCCCTCACACAGTTTTCTTTTTTAAATAGATTACTGTATCTGGATTGTAAAACTATAGTCTTTTCAGATGCATTTTCGAAGCGCGGGAAATTTTCTCTGGGAACTGAAAAACTTATAAAATCCATTTCATAAGTTTTTTTGTAGAATTATTTCAGTAATTTGAGTTTTGTCTTTTTACAAAATACACTTTGTTAAGCCTTATTTTGTCGAAAGAATTTCATAACTACTTTCATGATAATGTCATATTAATTTATCTGATACACTGTAAGTTATGGTACGCCCTCAATGATATTTGCATTTTGATATTCTCCTTTCATAAAAAAAAGTTATTTGACGATTCCCTTTAAATCAATAGACATTTATTGAAACTTGTTTGCTTCTTACAATTATCAAATGGAGTATTTAATCACTTAAAAGTGTGTGTTTAGAAAAAAAAATATCAAAAGCTTATTGAAAGTATATTATCGTTCAAATGTGTGTAGATGAAAATGTATTCAGATGAAACAGGAGAATGGATTATTAGCACACATACGTACCAATAACCTACAAAAACCTGTAGGAAATACATGCTAAACAAATATGAAAGAAATTAGATATTGTAATCTTACAAAGAAGCTCGCAAGTCATACTGCTCAATATTGTTCACTATGTTATAATTAAACTGTTTGCATAGTAGATGTTTGGTGCAACAATTTTGTCAGTGCTTAAATTAAAAAAAAAATCAAATGTGTTCGATTGATATAAAACCTTAAAGATATCACCGTAAATCAAAACAAAGGTTAAAGGTGTATTTTGAAAGCTTGACATTTAGTTGTACATTTATCAATAAACCTGTTGTCAAATGGTGTTAAAATATTAGTTTTGTAATAGGAAAACTCTCATCAAAGAAATCGTTGGGTTGGGTCCTACTCGGATCGGAACCATGTTTTGTCACCTGAACGTACTTCAAGAAAGTTGACACAAACGCTTTTTTTTACTTAAATGTAAACAGATTTAGACAGAATTATGCAGCGCGTTGTGATAGACATGAACACAGTAAGAGTAAGCAAATATACACATTGAGCGCAAAAGTTTTTTCAATCATAACCATATAGACAATGTCCCACATAATGACCAGACGAAACGTACTTTGTGCGTGTAAAATCACAAGTTCACAGCTTAAAAATAAAATTGAATGTTTGTATAAGAAAATGTATTTGTTACATTGCATGGAAAAGAAAACTTGAATGCTCTTAACCCTTTCATTCGGATGTACAATAATCATAATGTTACAATACTTTATTATTTACATGTGAACTATTTAGAGCAAACCCAAGCTAAGTGACAGGACATTATAATGTCTCTTAAAAATATTTTTGCCTTCACCTTCTGTCTGGCCGTCCTTCCTTCTGTATGTCTGTCTGTCAGTACGCCCGTCCGTCCGTCCATCTGTCCGCAGTAAGCTAGTCCGGCTTTCACACAGTCCTTGGGGATTTCAACCAAATTTCACAGGATTGATCAAAACCAATCCTAGTTGTGCATATTGCCGGTACATTCCGCTTCACTGCACAAAATGACCGCCAGAACTATAAATATAAACTCTTGTCCGGCTTTCACAGGTCAAACTGCTAGCGGAATTTTGACGAAACTTCACAGGAGATATCAATACTATACCTTGTTATGCATATCGCCGGCACGTTCTGATTCACTACACAAAATGACTGACAGATCTAACAAATGTGTGTGGCTTGCTGAGGTCAATCCGCTGGCGGTATTTACATGCCGCTGTTCCATCCTGAGAGTAAATACGTGGAAGACATATTTTCTTGTAACAAAAATCCTTCTTGTTTATCTTGAGCTTCTCGTTTAGGGCATACGCATTTTTTACTTGGGGTCGACCATATGCCGCTTTTCATGGAATGAAACTAACGTGTCACATTGTAGCTTCCATGATAACCGCCATATAAACACAAACATTTCAAAATTCAATATTTTACCAGTTAATTTGTGTTAAATTCTGCTGAATCCAGTGCCAGAGGGCGTGGACCTTAGCTTGTAATTACCACTACCGTTCATTAACAGGCTCAATCAAACCGAGCCTACAACATTTTTAATTTTGCCGTGTTGGGCTTTCTTCAAGAATCCTGTTTTTCTCTATTTTATTGTCGCATCAGTGTTATTAGTGACGTGTGACGCCTGTAAAACTCTCCCAATTTAATCAAAGATGTTATGCTTCCGATCCTAGAAGATCACTCAGGAAAATATTATTGTCGGGAGTGCATGTTTTTGGTACTTTTAGTTCTTTCCAGTTTGGTGTTTTTTCCAGTCGGTTGGTTCCAGTATTACTCAATTGAATATATTGTTTAATCACCCTTAGGTGTTATGTTTTTGATAGGTATGTTTCATAACCTCTGATCCCCTTTCAAATTCTTTTTTATTTAGTTTTGCCCATGGTTAGGGCATACGCAATTTTTACTTGGAGACCATATTTCATGGAATGACACTAACGTGTCGCATAATTAAGTGATAACCGCCATATGAATAGTTTTTACAGATCATATCATCAAAATAATTATTAGAGAACATTACCAAACAAGACGTTCCCTACACCATCCCTCTTATTCATTCATTTTCCTGCTCTCTGTCTCTTCTGTGATACAAACGCCATCACAAGTAAAATCTGTTTTTTAAACAAACGCACAACATTTAAACAAACGCGCAACATATCACAATATACACGACATTAATGTGACAAAAATCAGAGGAGCACCGCCAGTGTCCCGCAAGTGTTTGGCCAGTGCTAAAACATATTTATTTCGTTTTCTAATACTGCGCTTGCTGACCAAACCAACGGAGCGAAATTTGAAAAGTATGCCGGACGACAAATGTACAAAACAGGGCGTCTGCACTTATGTCTTGCCGGTCGACGCGGCAACAAAATGCCATTTTATAAATTTAAAAATCACTCTGGAAACAATTAATAACAAACCGTCCACTTCACAAAGTTGATCAACTTTCAACGTTTCAAGGGGTTAAATCCCTCTTAATCAAGGAGTTTGCTGTTGTTTTTTTTTCTAAATCACATATTAGTCCTCTTTTTTCTTACACTATTCGCTGATCGTATGCGTGCTTTATAAGCTGATGTTTATAATGATAACATCGATGATACTAAATCGGATGATATATTCTCAAGACTTCGTGATAATGAACAAGGAACTGATGCAACTGTTAAAGGTATAAATGATATTGTAAATGATATGTATCAAACTTATGCCGATATCGGTAGTGTTAAGATGACTTTCGGTGCTTGTAACCCAAAACCGTTAAAAGTGAGAAACATCTCACAAAAAACAATTAATGGTTTAATTTTAAATGTAAAACTGCTCGTAAAAACTTCCATCTAGCAAAATATTTGTATAAATTGAGAAAAAAAAAACCCAGATGAAAACAAAATCAATTAAAGGAGAAATAGGAAACATATAAGTTTACATTAAACAGTAGTTTTAAACAATTTCAGTGAAATTGAAAGAAATAAAAGAATTGAAACCCTGAATTTTTTTGTAATTTTTAAATAGAAACAAAACTTTTAAAACTGGATCAAAATTAGAAATTTGTATGACTATTTCAAAGACCTAAATTTTGTTTAAGAAGAAGAAGAAAAAAAGAAGAAGAGTAGTGAGGATGAAAATGTTAATGTTCCTAATGATGTAAAGCAATTTTTAAATGAACCATTATCATTGTTTAAAATTGAAAAGGCAGTTAAAAGTGGTATAGATCAAGTTTTAAATGAATATATCAAAATAATCTTTACATAAATCGAAGTACATATTATTAAAATTGTTTAATATAATTTTTGATACTGGAATTGTTCCCGAATCTATCGGGAAAATTTTACCAATTCAAAAAAGAAATAAAGGCGATTGCCTGAAGCCGTATAACTATCGGCATATCTGGAAAAGTTTTT